GCATGCCCCTTACTCCTGGGTCTTCTCAACCCTGCGGTGTAAGATGCCCTCAGGAAGGAGGGACACAGCACATGGACTTGAGCAGCCAGTCCACAGTATGCAGTCAACAGAGCAGTGCTAGCTGGAGAGTAGTCACTGATGGAGACGGCAATTTGTCCAAGAACTGCAGGAGGAAGCTATATGCAGCATTCAGGACCTGGAAGGAGGATGGACCACCTACTCTGACCTTTCTATGGCATAAACAAATGAAGGACAGAACGGGAAAGGATCTTTACAGGTAGCACAGGGGCATCAAATTAACAAATGTCCGAAAGGACGTCATTGGGAGAAGCCAGCATAGAGAAGAATGAGGAGTTCCGGGCAAAGATAGGCTTGACCATTCAAATGTCTGTCTTGCCCTTTACTGGGCAGCTGATTTGCTTCCCACCTGTACCCCGCACCAAGACACAAAGCTTGAGGCCAACCAGGTCTACATAGTGAGTTCTAAGCCAGTCTAAATTATAACATGAGATCCCAGCTACCAACAAGCAATAGTTCATTTCCCCCAACAGGAGGGAAGGACTGTCTCTGTTTACCCCTCTGTCACCAACACTCCATGTGTGCCAGCTTATCAGAAAGTTACCCGTCCACTAGAAAACCCAAGAGAACCCCACAGGATGTTGTAAGTCTCCACAGACAAGCTAACCTGCTCTTTATGGGCCCTTTGATGGCGTCCGGCTGTGCCCTGCCTTTCCCTTGACTCTGGCTGTGAATCTATTAAGACAAAAGAGACTCAGGTGATCTTCAAATGCAGCCAGTTTGGGAAATTTTGCAGCAAGAGCCATCTGCAGATCCCTGTCTCTGTTGGTCCTGCCCAGCCCCTCCCTTCTTTCATTCCTCACTGTCTTCAGAGGGCATAGCTATAAAGGACTAAACACGTTTACAAAGATTTACTCAGTTTTTCAGACAGCAGAACAAAGCATAACAGACTGGTGAAAATTATCTTTCAGAAAAACATCTACAGAGCCTAGATCCAGAGTCATGAGCGCCTAACTGGGCAAGATTGAGCCCGCAGGAAACAGCTAGGAGGGAAATGTTAGCAATGAATGGGATCTTAAGGCCCAAGAAGGCCACTGACTCAACGAGGGCTTGCCCTAAGGTCAGCAGTGATCTGGCCGGTCACACTCACAGTCAGGAAGCTTGCAATGAATGCTTGCAGTCTGTTCAGCAACCTGTTGCCACCGAGAGTCCAGGACCAGCAAGGGAATTCTACTGCCCATACTGGGTGCATCACCCATCCTTGAATGCAGTGAAGATAATCCCCCATAGGCACACCCAGGGGCCTGTCACCTAGATGATTCTAGATTCTGTCAGGCTGATAGCACTAGCCAACACAGGAGCCTATCAGAAACACATGTGACCAAAAAAGGGATGTGAGCGGGGAATGAGGAAAGTGATGAGCGAGAGGCATCTTGAATGCTTCGGTTTGGAGACCAGGGGGACCATGCTACGGGGAGAGAGGTTGTAGGTAGACTACCAACCTCAACACAATGAGGAAGAAACTTCCCCACTCCCATCAGCCCCAAACGCTGGCCTCTACAGACACAAGGTTAGCTTTCTCTGCCAGAAGAGCGGCAGGAGTGTGTCAAGATGAGATGGCCTCATTCCTGTGCCCTGAAAGGCAGCCCAGACCGTGGTTCCTAGTTGTGGATCAAAACCCTGACTTCCTCCTTTAACCCACTGCTGGACTCTCAGGCTCACGAACCCACCATGCAGGAGCCCAGGAAGAGCAGGAGGCAGGGGTGAGGGTGTTCCTTACATCATGCTGGGAAGGAGCCAGGCTGTGTTCTAGCCCTGAGAGTAGAACGCTGAACCATGACCTACCAACCAGCCTTTTTCTCCTCCCCAAAGCGGCCCTCTACTTCTTGGGCAGTCCTCCATCCCAGGATACTTCTCCACTTCCAAATCAGTCCTCGCCCCCTGAAGCAACCCTCCACAGCCCGCCAGGGTACTCTTCCCCTCTGAAGCAGTCTTCCATCCCTCAGGTTGTTCTGTACTCCCAGTTCCGTCCCACTCAATCAACCCCCAGAGCTTTGAAGGAAGACTTCATTGGACTTATTACTACTGACTGTGGCTCTTTCCAGATCAAACTGCAGCTTGTGACCCCAAGCAGACAGCCTGCCTGCTGGGACGTTCTCACACGGTGAGTGTTGGTCCAATGGATAGTCATCACCAGGCACCACAGATTTGTACAGCTCCCTCACTGCTGGACACCCAGGGGTTACCCCCAAAGCACTCTGTGAACAGTAGCAGGTGACTGGAGGGAGTCTAATGCTGATCATGGGGTTTGCTATCAGACTCAAGTTCCACGAGGCCCACTTGACCCCCACTAAGCTGCACAGCCTTGTTCAGGCAACCCTGCCTGTCCAGAAGGGATCCTGGGAGGCAGCAGAATACAGCCATCGGCCCTTTGTTTCCGAAGAATCCCCTAAGACATCTTTGAATCCTCACCATCATCCTACAGACAAGAACACTCAGGCTCACTGATGACGTCATTTCTCCAAACTTTAAGTGGCCGAGCCATGATTCAAGGGCACTCCTGACCAGTGTCTGCCCTCCTCTGTGCCCCTGCTGACTGTTCTATGATACCTGACAGGAAAATAAGGGGTTCTTGCTTGAGGACAAGCCCAAGGTACTATGAGACTGAGCTCTCAGCAGACTGAGTTAGAACATCCAAGGACAGCCTGCCTGGGAAGATGGAGGGGAGCTGAATACTTAATACTCAATGTGTGCAGCAGATATAGAGTTCCCCAACTGGTCTTCAGGCCTCCTCAGCCTACCCACAGCCTCCAGTGCTGGAACTTTCCAGAAGGAAGCAGGTATGCCTTTTCCAGAAGCCGATCCACTTGTCAGTCCTGCCACTTTGACAAGTAAATCCAGCCTGTGGAGTGAGTCCCACAGCCGCCAGAGCGTTGCCCAGCCAACCTGTTCTGCGCATGCCCACTGCTGCATCAGGCCTTCCTCGGGCTTCTGTAGAACCAAGTCGGGAAATTGAGATTTAATCCTTGGCACACCCAAATGAACTCCATAACCCACTCCCCTGCTCCTCCCTAGCCCATGCTAGCGCTGAGGGAAAGGAACACCGTACAACAGTACAAGGTGTGTATTGTAGACAGCACCTACAGGGCTTGCTCATATTTAAAGCTTCCTTCCATATATTTTTAATAAAACAACTGATACAAATTCAAAACCAACTTCATAAATCAAACATTATTCCATGTTGGCGGCTTCAAGGTTTCCTGGCGCTTGGCTGGGAGCACCGGTCTCCCAGACGGGCTCTGCACTCCGGCGCTCCAGGTTTTTTTGAAAGGTTTATTGGATTTCATAGTCCCTTAAGGGGAAACCCTTTAAATGTCTTTGCAATTATAAGTCTAATAACACTTCCAGCCCTTGGACACAGCCTTGACTTGACAGAGATAAGGAACTCCAAGTTGCTCAGTCAATACCAGGCTATTAATCTCTGTCACCTCGCTGTCACCGTGGCTCAGGAAAACAATGTCGTTTCTTGACCTAGGTGAAGGCACGGAGTGATTTTATTCAGAATGTCGGCATTCATCAACCTGGCTTCTGTCAGCCCCTCAACTCCTAGAAGAGGAGTTCTTCATCCCTCTGGCTCCGACACCCTTCCAATCCAAGAGTTTCTCTCAGTCTTGGCTATTATCATTAGTTAGCACTTCTTCAAGTGTAAAAAGCCTTTAAGAATAAAGTTTTCCCTGCCATAAAGAGATCTGGCAGATGAATCACTTCCTGCCTCTCTAGAGCAGCCCAGGCCAAGGACAGCTGGAAATTACCAAAGGCCGTATTTGTTTACATATTCAAATGAAGGTTAATTTTTATCCTGTCTCTGCTCAAATTTGATTAGGGTGGGGCTCTCCCCCCTCCCTCCGTGGTGTATTTATAGCAACAGCCTCCCACTTGACCTTGAAAAAAAACCCTAAGAAATTGTTTCAAAGAAAAGCTGACAAAATTCCTAATGGGAAGCTAACAAGGAGAAGCAAATGTTTCCCGGCAGGACACACAGCCTCACTGCGGGCTGCAGCCAGGATGGCTTCCTACCCTGGGTTGCCTTCTCAGGGGTGGGTGGACGAAGCCGGCTGTACCCCAGCATAGCCAGGGATAGCAGGGCAGCCTGGATTGCCCGCCCAGGCCAGGCATCAGGTAAGGTAATGCCAATGGGCATCGCTCTGGACTGTATATAAAGTACCTCCCCCTCCAGACACACTGTCTACTGTCCCATGCATTTGAACTCTTGGCCAGGAGCTGGTACCACTGGTTCAGGAGCCTTCAGGGAGTAGGGCCTTGGTAGAGAAAGTGGGCCGCTGGCAGGCAGGCCTTTGATTACTTGCTGTAATCCCAGCTATGGATGTGATGTGGCCCAGGTACCTTACACATCTGCAACCATGACTCCCTTGCCACAACATACTGTATTCCTTCTCATACCACATGCCAAAATAAACCATTCCTCCTTCAAGCTCCTTTTGTCTGGCATTTTGTCACATAAAGGGCAAAGGTCACTAACATGGGTGTTGCCCCATAGCACACGATGCCAGTGGTGAGGGAATGGCAGTCAAGCAGCCTCTAGAGGCATGGAGCTGCCCCCGAACCCCCACACATGGGACCCAGGCTTGGAAAATGGCCAGACCAGAGCTGCTGTGGGTACATGGGAAGCCTGGGTTTTAGGCGTGAATGGAAGAGGAACAGGTAGAACTCTGGTCCCCAGCACTTGAGATGCACCTGTTTCTGAGGGTTCACGTCTGGAACGCTCTCTTTGGACTATGTTGGAGCCCTCAGAGGTCTGAAGTTGGTTAAGGAACAGCAAGTGTGAAAGCCAAAGTTACATTTTAAGTTTTAATTACTCTGTCTGGGAGATTTGTGAAGCAAAAATGCCTCTGATCTGCAAGCCCCCTGCCCAAGGACAGGTAGTTCCTGAAATGCTGGAGGCTGTTGTTTATGAGAGATGACAAGCCGCATGTTTTCACTCCCCTAAACAAGTCTGTTTGACCCATGTGCACCGGATATGCTTGATCACATGTGGGCAGCAAGTTCACAGGCAGGAAATATGTCAGGACGCATGCTTGGCCCTGATTGGATGTGGGCTGGAGGTACATCAGGCTGTATGCTTGCCCCTGATTGAACCTTATAGGAAATGCTTAAGCCATTGCACAACTTGATTCAGGGCCTCCTTCTGGAAACCCAGAGATGGGACCTGGCCAGAGCCCATCCACCTGGTCAGTATGTAATTAAAGCTTGCTTCAATTTTGGCTTTAGACTGTGGTTGTGGTCTTACTCTCCATCCGTGGGATTAACACTATATAGCTTGCTTCGGAGTAACGGGTGCTTCCTAGAAGGCTGAGAAGAAAGAGCAGATGTTTGAGGCCTGGACTTCATATGAGCCGTGGTCTCAAACCTCAGGGAAGAAAAGAGAACATACTTCTCTGTCTTCGCCACAAATGAGCATAGCCCCTTCCACCGGCAGGAGTGCGGGCTATTCCTGTCTAAGGCTCTTGAATGCATGGCAGCTCGGCTTAAGAAACCAACCAAAGAGTAATGAAAGATGAAGAGCCACTGTACCCTTCAGCAAACTCCAAGTCTGTCTTTTTTTTCTTCTTTCTTTCTTTCTTTCTTTCTTTCTTTCTTTCTTTCTTTCTTTCTTTCTTTCTTTTACAGTGGGTTCCAGAGACTCAACCCATAATACCCATCAAAGAAGACATATTCACATTCAAATTTGGTCTCAGTTTTCTTTTGTTGCTTATATTTGGCAATTTGGTTCTTTTGTGTCTCTTCCTATACGTAAGTCTTGTGAACCCCTTTCCACAATGACAAGGTGTGAATGAAAAACGTAAAAGTCCAGGGTCTGTGGACTGTGCTCAGGATTGGGACCGAAAGAGCAAACTCAGCTTTGCTACTTTTGTGAGGTAGGGGGGAGAATCAGCCAGGCCTCGGCTTCCTTATCTAGGAAAGGAAGGGTTGGGGTGAAGCCAACCCTCATCCATTCCGCTCCTCCCTAGGGCCCCTGGGGACTTGGGGCTCACAAGTGAGCCCAGTGTGAAGACAAAGAGCTGAACTACCAGACCCATTTGCGTGGAGCTCATCCACGGCCTGGGGCAGTCCTCCGTTCCACGGGAGCCAGGGTGGTCAGTCACCTAACAGGCCACCTGCTAACTTTCCGCGGACAGACTATCAGCTTGGAAAAGTTTCCTGAGTTTCCTGTGCCTCAATTTCCTCAACTTTAAACTAGGATTATACATGGAGCTCTCTCCGATGTTGCTAAACGTACTTGGCAAGTGCACGCATTAGTATTTGCCATATAAAATATACCACGTGTGTTTCTTAGATAAAGTTTGCAGGTAAGTGGGCCTGGCTATGAGTTTCTGCTCAAGAGGGAGAATATTCCACCTTTTAAAAATATTTTTCCCTTCTGAGGCATGGTCTCTCTCATAGCATCACTGGCCTTGAGCTTTCCAGGTAGCTGAGGATGACTTGGAACTTCTGATCCTCGTGCCTCTACTTCCTGAGTGCTGGGATTAGAGATCTGTATGATCATGCCCAGTTTATGTGACACTGGAGATCAGATTCAGGGCTTGTGTATGCCAGGCCAGCTCTCTACTGTCTGAGCTATGTCCTCAGTCAGGAATTTCTCACATTAAAGCATAACTTCTCTGAGACATGGAGACAGAAGCAAACAGCCTGAGAAAGGACACTGTTATGGACCCATTCTGGGACATTCTGAAGGCACAGTCACAGAGAAGAGCCAGGGTTGGATGTGACCCAGGGAACTTCCCACCCTAGACAGAGAGACAGGACCTACCAGAAGCCACCATTTAGCCATCCTCACATTTCCAGGTAACTAGTGAAAGAGGCTGGTCTCTATGAAATTTTGGCCCAATCCATCATGAAAAAGAGCCAAGTTTGGGGGTCACTTCCTGGTTCTGCTGAAAGTCAGGACAGGGAATGCTGGGAGGTGGAGGGAGAATAGTGTGAAATATTAGTTGAAGATGTGTTAATTCGTTTATGCTGTGGAACATTTGTTTAATGATAAAAAGATGTGTTGCAATTTCCATGCTGTATTTGTTTAACTCTGTAAAACTGTGTTAATTTACCTGCCTAAAACACCTGATTGGTCTAATAAAGAGCTGAATGGCCAATAGCTAGGCAGAAGAGAGGAATAGGTGGGGCTGCCAGGAAGAGAGAATAAGTAGAAAGAGAAATCTAGAGAAAAACTAGGAGAGGAGAAGCAAGAAAAGAAAAGGAGAGGAGGCCAGGGGCCAGCCACACAGCTGGCCATGGAGTGAGAAGGAAGAAAAATACATAGAATAAAGAAAGCTTAAAAAGCCCAGAGGCAAAATGTAGTTAAAGAGAAATGGGATAATTTAAGTTAGAAAAGCTGGCTAGAAACAAGCCAAGCTAAGGTTGGGCATTCATAAGTTCTAAGAATAAATGCAATAAGATGAATAAAAACTCAGAGACAGAAATTGGGGTTCAACCTGAAGGTCAGAAAAGCAAAACAACCAGCCCCTGGTTCTGACTGCTACCTCAGTCCGAAATGGCGATCCTGACTCCAGGAATCTCAGAATGAGACTGTGTGTGAGAGCTGTCTCCTCCCATCTTATATTCCTCTCTAGTGCTGGGATTATAGGCCTGCACCACTACTGCCCAGTTTCTATGGCAAACTAGTGTACCTACTAGTACACTCGTAGGATCAGAGACGTGTGCCACCAATGTCTGGTGTGTAAGGCTGATCAGTGGAGCTGTTTTACTCTCTGAACTTAAAGCAAGCTTTATTTATTAAAATGCAAATGAAATATCACTATAAATAAGTCTTTGTGTATGTATTTGATAGCTGGGTGGTACCCCAAAGCATAAACGACGACAACAACAACTACAGGGGAACCCTGGGGAGGGGTCCCCTAATGATGAGCCAGCATCCTAGAACTCCGCTTCTCATCTGGAACAGGACCAGAGCACTCTTCCTCAGAGATAAAGCCCTTTGTCTCCACATTCGATAGCTCACCAGCCTTGCTAGGCTGTCCTTACTCCATGGAGTAGAGACCTGATATCCAGCACCGTGACAGGCCTCATGGTGTCTGCTGTCCATGGGTCACCCACATCCCAGAGCAATCGTTCAAGAGACTCATCAATCAGAAAAGCAGCCCTGCCATCCGCTGCCACTGTCCAGCAACCCAGCCCTTTGTGCTGGCAGAGAATGTTCTATTTAACTGTGCTGACTAGAACATAAGCAGAAAAAGGAGTCTATTAAATCAGTCCCTCCTCTTCAAGGCCATTACCTCAGGATCCCAGGGTCTTAGAAGGGTACATCTATCTTGTTCCATAACTTGGGATGCATGCCAGGCAAAGGATGATACCCTGGGGAAAGGTCCTTCACAGTGATGTACTCTCCCAAATGAACCAAACCAATAGAATGTAGTCTGTCACTTCCCCACCTAAGGGTGGTTCTGTGGCGATGGGAAGATGGTAGGAGAAAGAAGCACACACACAGTGAGCTCCCACCTAAGCATCCCTGGATGAGGCACAAGGGACCCCTGAGCACAGCATCTTCAGCATCCTCCAGGGCACCAAGGATGTGTAATGCGGCCCCACCCCCGCCCTCAGCTTTATTTAGTCAGCAAGCAAATAAGTAGAATCTAGACTCCAGCTTGGAGAGAAGGCCAGGAGACCATACCAAGACAATAAATGGTCAGTCTGAAGTAGCTCTGATTCAGAAGTGTGGAGTCCCTCTAGGATCCCCTAGTACACTAAAGTCATCTGCACCAAGGAGAACACCCCAGATCCAGCTCCTGGAGGACCTACCTGGCAGACAAACTGGCAGGGAGGTGTTATGTGCTGTCTCCACAGCACCAGTGGGCATCCAAAAGAAAACCAAGCACCCGGGGATCAGGCAGATTGCTGTAAGAAGCCCACATCTCCTGCCATGGGTCTACCCTGTTCAGTTCGGATCCCACATAGAAAGGGTTGGTGCTGGTCTTGGAACATGGATTTGGTTTTGACAAGAAGCATCTACCCACAGAGCGCCATCTCAGGAGCCCTGGGAGGCCAGTTCTCTCCCTACTCAGTTATGTATTGTAGGGGTGTCAGTCTGGGTAGACTGCCCTTTCTCAGTCACCCAGGTAGAAGTTCGACTGGTCCCCTTGTATCCCAAACCACAGCCAAATTAACACAGGAAACTGGGCTCTGGGAGGAAAGACACAGCTACTTTGAACAAAAACATCAGCAGGTGCCATTTCCTGACTGATGTTTAGATCTATGCCAGGAGCTAACATTCCCCAGGAATCGCTCATTTTATCTCACCGTGATCTTCAAAGAAGAACACTGAGCCGCCCATTTTACAGGTGGAGAAGCTAAAGCTTAGGGAAGTCCAACGATTTCCCTCTGGTCTCACCACAGGTAACAGGAAGAATGAAGATTTATTCCAGTTGGTAGTTACAAGGTAGGTTCACAGGTCACATGGGGGGGGGGGTGTCACAATCTCTTTAAGTTTGAGTGAGAGAACTGAAAATCCAATAGAAAATCTTAAAGAACAAATTAGCTTCTATAATAATGGCCCAAATGGCTAAAGCCAGTAGCACTCTGGGTAGTCAGGAGATTAAAGAGGTGACCAGAGCTCCCTGAGGCAGAAGGAAATCACCATGGCCTAGGGAAATGATTTTTTGTGCCCTGATCACTGGGGTGAAGCCATGACTGAGGGGTCTCATGGGGGACTCCCTCGCAGATGAAAGAGGAAGAAGTGTCTCTAACCAGGTGACCTGCTAGCACCTATGACCCTGTCCCCAAATGGCAGACTCAAAGAGCAGGGCCAGGCTGCGCTCCATTCCACCAGCTTCCGAGATTGGCAGGGGCATGGGCCTACTTCCCAAGGCACATAGCCCATAAATCAGCCAAAGCCGGCTGCACAATTGCAGTGCGCCTCTTTCAAGCAGCTCTGAGGAAAAATGGCTCCATCTGCTCACTGCTAGGTCATAAATAAAACAGAATTGGAGCAAAATGGATGGAAAGCAATTTTTGGAAGATGAATTTCCAAGAGTTGGCTCCCATTCGTGCACCTCTTCCGCTGCTGGAAATGACCGGCTGCGGGCCTGATGAACCCGCGCACGCTGGAGCAGGCTCAAGGGGCGGGAACCCGGATGAGGGTTGGCCGGCACAGGTTTTCTGCGTAGGCTTCCATGAGTCCTTCTCCTCTTTGTTCGTCTCCGTCGTCTTCCTCACCACCACCACCCTCACCACCATCATTTTCGCCCGTCGCCATCACTGTCACGGTAAACTGGTTAATTAACTCCTAAATCCTTCTGATATGCAGGCACTGAGCTGGAATTTGTAAATCTACCTTCTTTAAAGTCTCCACCTATCCTGACCGGGCACACGGAAGGCTACAAAGCCCTTCCCCACGACATCTATATGGCCTGTACTTTGTTTTACTTTTCTCTGTCACTTCTGAAAATGTCCTTTCATTGGCACATGCAACTGTACATACTTACCAGGTACAATTGCAAAGTGTAATGATCCTCTCAGGGCAACAAGGAAACCTCTTTAAGATTTATCATTTGTATTTGGAACAGCCAGAATTCTCAAGCTTGTATTCCTAACACACAGCAAATCTCTTAGTTACCCGTTGCCTTCTTTCTGATATGAGGAGGCACTTCTTAGAACAAGGGGTTCATCGGATTTTCTACCCAGCTATCTCTGAGCTGAGGACAATTCCTAAGCAGTAGAAAAATTCAATGAATGATTTTTGGATCACTGAATGAAAGAATGAATGACTTGTGGGGCTCCCACAATCCGTGCAACATGCCCAGCCTGTTTATCTCTTCCCACCCTTCTCTCGCCTCTAACTGACTATGGGGCATTTTGTTGACCTTCTGTGTACCCATCATTCCTCTCCCACTGCAACTTCCGGCCTCTGTCCTTGGAGCACTCTCCCCATTTCCCTTGACATCCCTTTAAAGATCTCCCTAGGCAGCCTTGGCTCTTTCTTCTGGTCTTGTTCCTGGTAGCATTTGTTATTTTTCTAGTTCTTTATCTGTGCTCGTGGAGTGCCTCCCACACTGTCATTTGATGACCTTGCAAGGGAGAAATCTACCCAAAGGTTTATCAGGTAGATCTGTTCAGCCAGCACTGTAATCCAAGCCTCCCTCACCTGCCTCAGCCTCTCTAGCCAACCAATAGGCAAGCGTTCTGCAGGTAGGCTGCTCTAACACCTCCATTCCATCAATCTGATTCACAACTTATAAATGCCACTCCACCCCCAAACTCTTCTACCTCCGCCTCTCCCCTGCAACCTCAGAAGAACTCAGAAACACAGGCTGCAACTACACAGAGAGGAACAAGAGGTAGGCTGCTCCAACATCCCCACCCTGTAAGCTACAAGTTCTGCTCTGCCCCCAAACCCTCCTATCCCCTCACAACCTCAGAGGAACCCTGAAGCACAAGCTGGGACTACACAGAGTGAACCAAGAGAGACCTCAGTGGCTCCCAGAAACACAGTGACAGTACAGAGCAGACCAAAAACAGTTCCCAAAGACACAGACAGTCACTGCAAGGATTGGACCAAGAGGCAAAGCCACTGCAGGCACCAATTGGAGGAAGAGATGGGCAGGCGCCTATGCAAGAATCCATTCAACAAACTAAAAAGCAACATGGTAACATGAGAACCCAATGGTCACACAAAAGGAAGACTTGATCATTCTAACCCAGAAGAAGCAGAAGAAAATGATTTTAAACATAACTTTATGAGGATGATGGAGACCTTTAAAGAGGAAATAAAAAACATTCCCTTAAAGAACTGGAGGAAAAGACAAAAAATCGGAAGAAATCAATAAATCTCTTAAAGAAATCCAAGAAAACCAAGGAAAAAACAAACAGGTGAAACAAATACTTCAAACAGTTCAAGACTTGAAGACTAAAATAGGGGCACTAAAGAAAGCACAAACTGAGGGAATTTTGGATATGGAAAATCTGGGTAAATGAATGGGAACTACAGAGGTAGGCATAACCAACAGAATACAAGAGATGGAAGAGAGAATCTCAGGTGTTGAAGATACTTAGAGGAAATAGATTCGTTGGTCAAAGAAAACATTAAATCCAACAAATTCTTAACCTAAAACATCCAAGAAATCTGGGGCATCATGAAAAGATCAATCCTAAGAATAATATGGGTCGAAGGAGAAGAACTTCAGCTCAAAAGGCACAGAAAATATATTCAACAAATCATAGAAGAAAACTTTCCCAACCTAAAGAAGAACATCCCTATGAAGGTACAAGAAGCTTACAGAACACCAAATAGGCTGAACCAAAAGAAAACGTCCCCTCACATATAAAAATCAAAACCAAAACATACAGAAAAAAGAAAGAATATTAAGAGCTGCAAAGGAAAAAGTCAAGTAACATATAAAGGCTGACCTATCAGAATTGCACCCGACTTCTCAGTGGAAACCATGAAAGCCAGAAGGTCCTGGACAGATGTGCTACAGGCACTAAGAGACCACGGATGCAAGCCCAGACTACTATACCCAGCAAAGTTTTCAATCCTCAGCAATAGAGAAAACAAGATATTCCATGACAAAACTAGATTTAAATAAAACCTACCCACCAATCCAGCCCTACAGAAAGTTCTAGAAGACAAACTTCAACCCAGGAAAGCTACTGCACCCAGACAAAACACAGGCAACAGATAACCTCACACCAGCAAGCCCCAAAGAAGGGAAGCACACAAACACAATCATTGAAAAATAACAGGAGTTAACAACCACTGGCCATTAATAATATCTCTTAATAACAATGGACTCAATTCACCTATAAAAATACACAGACTAAGAGAATGGATATGAAAACAGGATCCATCCTTCTGCTGTTTACAAGAAACACACCTCAACCTCAAAGACAGACATCACCTCAGAGTAAAGGGTTGGGAACAGGTTTTCCAATCAAATGGACCTAAGAAACAAGTGGGTGTGGCTATTCTAATAGCTAACAAAACAGACCTCAAACTAAAATCAGTCAGAAGAGATGGAGAAGGACACTTTATACTCACAACAAGAACAATCTATCAAGATGAAGTCTCAATCCTGAACATCTATGCCCCAAATACAAGAGCACCCACATATGTAAAAGAAACATTAGAGGTTAAATCGCACATCAAACCCCACATACTAACAGTGGGAGACTTCAGCATCCCTCTCTCCACGATGTACTGAGGGACCACTGGCAGTGGCACCATGAATTATTCCTACTGCTGGTACTGGCTTTTTGAGAACCCATTCTCTTTGGATTGATATGTTGTCAGCATGGATATAATAGGGAGGGTCTTGGACCTTCCCCAAAGCAATGTGCCTTACTCTCTCTGAGGAGTGGGTGGGGGTGGAGTGGGAGAGAAGGTGGAGGGAATGGGAGAAGAGGAGGGAGTGAGTGGGAGCTGGGATTGGTATGTAAAATAAAAAAAGATAGTTTGTTTTCTTTTATAAAAAAAATTTTTTTTTAAAAAAGAGCTAGTTTCAGGACAGACTCCAAAGCTATAGAGAAACCTTCTCTCAAAAAATCAAAAGAAAAAATCCAAAAACCAAACAAAACAAAACAAAACCAAAAACCAAAAAAGTGCACCTGGAGGCCAAGAGACATGTGCCAAATGCTCCTCCAGAAATAGAGATACAGTTATCTGTCCCTCTTCCTGCTCAGCAGGAAGTTGTCAATCCAGACGGAGGGCACAGGGCCCTGAAGACCCATCCTCTTAGCTGGCTTTGCCACCCACCTGCCTCCTCACTTGACCTTATATTTTCTGCATGTCCAAGTGCAAAGCTAGCTTTTTCTCAGAAGGGCCTGTGAGACTACGAATATTGTCTCCACATATCTCCTCCATCCTTCCCTCCACAGTAACCTCCCCTATGCAGTGTGGTGTGGGCATAGTGATGACGTTAATAATTCCTGTCAAATAAATTGGATGTGTGTCTAGGGTGGGGAGGAGTGGATGGATGGATGGGTAGGTGGGTGGGTGGACAGGTGGATGGATGGATGGATGGATGGATGGATGGATGGATGGATGGATGGATGGGTAGATGAAGCAAAATTGCCTTAGAATGTTTTGGAGTGGAAAACCGAAGGAAGTGCTGGAGATGTGGCTGACTGAGAAAATAAGCTAGAGTCGGTCACGTCTCTTCTTCATGTCGTTTTCCCCAAATGAGACATGTGACTGACTTGAATGAAGTCTTTGACAGCAAACTAAAGGATTACAAACATTAAAACGTAGGGCTCTTCCTAGGATGAGGAAGGTAAGGATGACTGGATACTGAAATCTCGAGAGGTTAAAGACTTTCAGTTTAGAGCAATCACTCATATTCATACCAGATGGAGTTAATAAGCATGTGGGGTTGAAATAGAAAGGCTGTCACCATTGAAATAATTCAGGGATCGAGTTGAAATGTCGCTCAGCTGGTAGACTGATAGCCGAGCATGTACAAGGCCTTGGGCTTGATTCCCAGAAGCCACCTCATAAACAGGCTTGGTAGTGCATGTCTATAACCTCGGTACTTAGCAGAAGGAGGCAAAAATCAGAAGTTCAGGGTCATTTCCAGCTGCACATTAAATCCACCCTAAGCTACGCGAGCCCCTTCCTTACTGGAAGAAAGGATCTGAGAAGGAAACAGTGGTACGTGATGGTAGCAGAGCTGAGAAAACACTCCGCTTCTGGGCTGGTGTAGATGCTGCAGCTGAAGACCTGAACATGGGTGGGAAAGCAGAGAACTCAAGAAATCCAAGCTTTGCAACCTGCAGAATGAAAAGTACGGACCTAATGTAAGTGATGTGGAGAAGGCTTAGGGAAACAGGTTTGTGAGAAACGGGGTTCATCTTAGGACAAAATGAGTTTAGGATGTCTGTTCAGCATACCTGCGAATCTCCAGGCTGTGCGGACAAAGGCTGTGGTCTCCCGCTTTGTAGGATTATCCATGGGGCTCGATGTCACCAACAAAGTGTGAGCAGGGGTCCCCAGAGTCAGTTTGCAGCTTACTGCTTTCATTTTCTGTCACGCTGTGACAAGCGGAGTTTCAAACAGAGAGCTGGTCCATCAGGCCGGAGTGAGGATGCCATGAAGAGAGGCATGGGGGACAAACCGCACAAGGGACACGTCATCATGATTTGGGGTTTGATAGAACCTCCTGTTGGATTGCCAATAGCAGCTGTGTGTGTGGCTGGGTGAGAGAACCTAGGCAGGAGGTAGAAACTGTAAAGTCCCCGACAAAAAGAGAAGCAAAGTGAAACCAGCAAGGAACTAACTGTATGGAAGACCTGTGGTCTGAGCCCTGGCCTGTGGCGTTCAGAGGAAAGGACAGCAATAATCTGAAGAGTGGGCAGCATGCGTCCAGGGAGGGACATGCATCAAGAAGTGATTAACTGTGGTCAGCGCTACCAACAACTCAACCAAGACAAGGACTCAGAGCCAAACTCTAGACTTGGCTGCACTAGTGTCAGTGATAATTCTATGTTAGTAGTCATGTGTGTATCCAAATGTCAGGCTGGATTTAGTTTAAGAGCAAATGAGAGGGAAGGAAATGGAGGCAGCAGGTATGGAATGGTTAGCACTGCAGAAGTGAACCGGGAGACGAGACAGCAACCGATGAAGTAACTGGAGTCAAGAGATACGTTAAGTGGGGAGAGATACTAGCGTTGCTTGTGCGCTGTAGCGAAAGATCCAGCAGAGAGGACAGCGTTGAAGCATAGGAGAAGCAGGATGGCTGGATGGAGACAGGTCCTTTAAGGAGCAGAAGGAAACGGGATCCAGCACGCGGGAGGTGTGGGAGGGCGTGGCCTCACACAGGACCTGCCTGTTCTCCATGGTAACCCACGCAAAGGCAGTTGGAGAAGATTCTATGTCCATCTCATTCTAAACTCGGCCAGGGGCAGTTCTTGGTTCAGTTCTGTAACTTCCCAGCGACGGGTGTCGTAGAGACCCAGTAGCATACTCTCAATCGCTCTCTCCGCTCTCCAGCTGGATTCAAAGCTCCTCTAGCCCCCTCCACTCAGACTCAAGCCCTGGGGAGAGAAGGAAGGACAAGGGCCAATCAGAGACATTTCTTTTCTGGGTCCTAGCTTCCCTAGTTTGGCACAGAGCACTAATATAAGGATACTATTGAGGGTCCAGGTCAAGACTAGTTAGTTCTTTCTACAACTGTAGGGTTCGTATACACGTTCACGGAATCAAGTTCAGCTTCAGCCTGACCTCTAGATGACCAAGGATCCTTCCTCAAAGAAAACTGAAGCGAGTTCTGGTCCTGGCCAATGTGGTTCAATGTTGACTGTGCATTGCTCAGAAAATATGGGAGTCTCCTTGGTAACCTAAGACTCTTCACAAGAGAAGTAGTGGGATGGGTACTCCCCGTTTGGACAGAGACGGCAGACAAGTCGGTGATGTCTAGATGTCTAGGTTGTAGCTCATAAACGATGATTTTGAGAGATCCGAGAGATGGCGCGCAGTGGTTGAGAGTGCATGCAGGGGACCTCATTCCATCTCCAGCATCCATCTCAGGCATCTCACAGCCACCTGTTACTGCATCCCCAGGGGCTCTGATGCTTCTGGCCTTCTGTAGTGTCAGCACACATGTGCACATACCCCCACAGCCCTACACGCATAATTAGTAAAAACAATTTAAAAACTTTTAAAAGTGGTTTTGAATAATGTTTGAAACAGATATCATTGAAGTGTTCTAGTTGGACTTACTGTAGCCCCACATTGGTACAGGGAAATGTTGTTGGTTGCTTTACTCTTGGCTTTTTTGGGAGGAGCGCCACCCAGCTCCCAAATAAAGCACACAAGCGGAGTCTTATTCTTACTTATAAATGGCCAGCCTTAGCTTGACTTGTTTCTAGCTAGCTTATCTTCTCTCAGTCTGCATTTTGCCTCTGGGTTTTTTCCTTTTCTTCTGTCTATTTTACTTTCACTCTTATTCAGTGACTGGCTGGGTGGTGGGGGCCCTAGCGTCCTCCTTTTCTTGATCCTTCTTTTTCACCCAGATTTCTCCTCCCATTTATTCTCCTTGCCTGCCAGCTCCACCTGTCTTTTCTCCTGCCTTGCCATTCAGCTCTTTATTAGACCATCCGGTGTTTCAGACAGGCACAGCAGCACAGCTTCACGGAGTTAAATGCAACATAAAAGAATGCAATGCATCTTTGCGTCATTAAACAAATATTTCCACAGCATAAACAAATGTAACACATATTAAAATAATATGCTACAACAAAGTGTTTGTAGGGTGGTTCACAAAAGGCCACCGTGATAAATGCTGTGAATCAGGTGCCTGTGTAGCTGGTGAAAATAGTGACATTACAGGAGAACTCGGTGAACTCAGGATTTGGGTGGCTGAACATGGCCTCGACGGTTAACTCCGTACAAATTTCTCACTTTTCAAAGGCCAGAATCACCTTCAAACTTCAAGTTGATTTGCCCGAGGAGCAGTCACAAAATCTGGGAACACACATCATTGCTAAGTCAGGTTTCTCACAGGACGCCTCTGAGTACAGGCTGCATCTCAGAACTAGGGCCTGGTCTTGGGAAGAGTCTGTGTACTGACCACGGCGCAGGAGCTGAGTTCCTGGCTTTGGTGCAGTGAGCACAACCAGCAAAGGAAAGCTGCGCTTCCCCACACATTCAAAGAGACTTGATGACTACTTTTGTCATTGACATTTCTGGATTTCAACATTCTTCCCAAACTCAATACAGTTGAAAGCCCAAGTTGGGGTTCCACAAGGGATCCTCAAGCAAAACCCACACATCTGCTGGTTAATAAAACAAGCCTGAGAGATGAGCTGATGAGTTAACTCCAAGCTCCTGAAGGTTTTCTGTGTTTATCTGAAAAAAGAAAAATAGAAGCAAAAGCCATGACCCAGAGAAGACTGTAGAGTTCCAATATATCACCCAGGCTCTGCGGGTACTGGAGAAGAAATAAATTAATGAACTACATAAGAAAGTCACCAGATGAACACAGCCACCAAAGAAATGACATAAGAAACAGGCGCTTAATTTCTGGTTTTTCAATGAAGTATCTTATACTGAGCAGTCACCGAAGCATAGTGCTACTTCCAGAAAACACATGGCTCAAGCCTAGTATACACGGAACCGATGGAGCACTCTTTAGTTCTAATAAAGAAGGAAATGCTATCATTCTGACAACACAGCGGAACCAAACACAGAAAGGTATCTGTCATATGATCTCAGATGTGGAAGCCATAAAAAAAATATTTTTTTTTTAACTTGTAGAAGCCCAGTAGAGTGGTGGTTGCCAGAGACGAGGAAATGGAGGCTGGAGAGATGCTGGTCAAAGGATGCAGCGTTTCAGCTAATTTGAATAAGCTCCAGAGATCTAGTGTACAGCAGGATGTCTGTACTTATGTATCATGGCTTGAAGCTTGGAGCTAAAGAGGCTTTAAGTGTCCTTGCCCAAGCAGTAAGTACCTGAGGAAATGCATGTGTTAATGATCTTCACTGAGCCACTCTGCTCTGAATATTTCAAAACACTGTACATAAGTGCATGCAATCTTTCTATGTCATTGCAAAATAGCACTGACACTGTGTTAATTTAAAATTTCTCCACACTTTTCAGTCCTGGTAGTATTTCTGATACCTGCGCATCAGCCAAGAATGAGAACCTTTGATCATTATTATATAATTGTGCAAACAATAAAGCAATGGAGGACCAGCAATTATGCTTTATGTGTTTACGCCAATCAAGCTGTGACGATGTCTTGATTAGGGTTTTAATTGTGATGAACAGACACTGTGACCACAGCAACTCTTATCAAGCAAAACATTTACCTGGAGGCTAGCTTACATTTCAGAGGTTCAGTCCACTATTGTCATGTGAAGAAGCATGGTAACACACAGGCAGACATAGGGCTGGAGAGGCAGCTGAGAGTTCTACATCTGGATTGGCAGGCAGCAGGAAGAGATGGAGTCACTGGGCCTGGCTTGAGTTTCTGAAACCTCAAAGCCCATCCCCAGTGGCACACTTCCTCCAACAAGGCCACACCAAACCAAAAAGGCCACATCTTCTAATTCTTTTAAATAATGCCACTCTCTATGAGCCTATGCGGGCTGTGTTCATCCAAACAACCACAGGCATAATTCTCTGACTTTTCTTTTCCTTAGTGTTTTGCCATTGAGATCGTTTTTTAAAAGTTGTATCATAGGGAGCCGGTAGGGTGGCCGTTGGTCCTAACTTCGAGAGGCAGAGGCAGGTGGATCTGAGTGTGAGGATAGCCTGGATCGCATGTCAACTTCCAGGCAGATCAGGGCTACATTGTAGGACATTGTCTCCAAATAACAAAATATTGGATCAGAGAGTTCCTTAGATGAAACCTGGATTAAACAACCATGGTCTTGCTCTCATTTTGTCTTGGACCCATCATGTACCTGCTGGCAATAAATACCCTCTTTAACAGAAAGCCTGGAAACCCCGAATGTGAACACCCATTCAGAGATAATGAAGACCCCTGATTCCACACCAGAGGTCTTTATTTGTGGCTGGACTTTGGGGACATTTTCTTTTTTTATAAAAGGATTTTTTTTTCTGCTTTGGAGGAGACTGACCAGTAGTCTTGTTTCCTTGTGCCCTATTTGCTTCATAGGCAAAACTTTCATGTTTTATTAAGGACCAAATAGGGCAAATATCTATAGCATCCCCTTTGGTCCTGTTGGAGGAATCCCTCAGTCACTTTGGGTTAGCTCTTTTACAGTACAACCTAGCATTTATCAGAACATTGGGCTCTTCCTCGCCTTCAAATTTCATGCTATGTTTGGTATGTTCTAATAGAAGTCCCACAGCCAATGGTCCTGAAGATTCTGTCTCCTTCCCTGCTCTTTCTCCCCATAGTCTCTATGACAATATTTCCTTTATTGTCTTCTTCTTTATCTTCTTGCTTTTCTTTCCTTCTCCCTCCCTCCTTCCTCCCCTCCCTCTCACCGCCCCCCACTGTATACATTCAGGTAGAGGTCAGAGGACAACCTTGGTTATCATTTCTCAGGACTACTGCCCATGCTGTTTATTGATACAGGATCTTTTGTTGGCTTGTGTTCAGCTCATTTCCCATTTTTCTACAGTCCAGGATCTCAGGCCAAGGAATGGTTCTCACCTCAATGCAATCAAGACAATCCCCTCCCGGCATGCCCGGAGGACCACCTCCCAGGTGACTCTAGACGATCAAGCTGACAGACCCCATGACCCATAGACGCATGATCAGAAACACGGTCATTGTTTGGCATCACTGTTTAGAGGGTGCTTGTCAGGCGGCAGCTGCTGTCACAGCAGAACACCTTGTCCCTTCCATGCTACTAGCAAAGATGTCTCCCAAACTGGTTTCCCAAGCAAACACCCTTCTACCTCAGCAATATCCAAAGTCAGAGGTCCAGAGGCTTCATTCAATGAAGCCTAAATTCTTTCTCTGTTCCCAATCCCAGAAGTCAGTGTGGCAGCAGACATAAGCTGTTTCTCAGAAACAGTACCCATCATGCAAGCAGATTTCCCAGAAGAGACCAGGGCTGCTCACACACTCACTCCACCTGCGGACAGCAAAGGGGCACTTGTTAATTCTTCGCTTGTGTGTGTATGTGTGTGCGCGTGTGCACATGTGTGTATGTGTGCGCACGCATGTGTGTGTGTCACAGCATGTATGCATGTAGATATCAGACTACAACTTGTATGAGATGGTTTTCCCCTTCAATCATGGGGAGTCCAGGGAACTGAACTCGGGTAGTCAGGTT